AGAGGGCACCACGATCACAGCGATTAATAGACGCTTGTTTATAACCTCAGCGGTATATTGTCTTATATTGTATGGGCCTGAAGGCGGGAAAAAGTGATAAATGATAATTTTATATGGAATATTATTACCACAGGTACAAAAAATCTATGATACTACACTATTACAGTAAACGTTTTATTTTAATATTTAATTTATAGTTTTTACTTAAATATTGACTTGTTTTATAATGTGTGAAAATAATATTATTGAACAATGGATAAAGATAAAAAGAAAGTAAAAGGCGGAGTAGTTTAACTATGCGAAAGAAAACTACAACAATTTCATTGGTTGGTCTTGAACTTCTAAATAATGCTCCAACATTCTACACTGTAAATCGCATACACAGTACAAACTTTTGATTAAAAAATATCTATTAAACTCATAAGACACAACTTGATTTCGTTTTCTCCTCTATTTTATATCTCCCTTGCATACACTTTAGTATATTATACATATAGCATATATGTACCTACCGACCATATACCTACCTTAATTTTTGTTAAAACTATAGTTTTTATCCGACACAAAACGCTATTAGTTATCTGTATTGTAATGTATTCCATTCCATATATTTTGTATAATATTCTACTTCTTTCCGTTCTGTTTTTCATTTAAGTTTTACAATTGTCAAATACGAATCTATTTGTAATAAACAGTTAATTAATTGATAAGACTCCAATTTCACCAATACGATGTTACACCTCCGTTGTGAATCGTTCCAAGAACTCTCCGCCGTTAAATTTTATTTTTAATTTAGTAATTATGTTATTGTTAGGCATTATTGCTACTTTAAACATGTACCTACAACTGTTTTTATGGCCGAATAAATATATTGTTATTATTATTTATAATATACTATTATATATAATGCATTTTAGAATTTACTATGCAAGTAATTGAAATTTGGAAGCTATACGCAAATTTCTTACGACTTGCTCTCATTCTAATTTTGCCGCCAGTCATTTACAATAAGAGTAGTTTTGAATATTGAATGAGGGCTTAGCGTTGGACGCCTACTGGTGATTTCCAATGGACTAGAAGTACTTGAAACCTCAAAAGCTCAGTTCGAATGAAAATATCAATATTGGCGTGCCAAGTGAAAAAAACCAAACGCCAACATCGACCGAAATGGAAAATTTTGTTTCTATACTCTATTGAACGGACTGAGTTATTTCAACTTAAGTGTACAGCGGACACCAAACGAAAACGCGTCCGTTTTCGAGCATGCGTTCCCGTTCACGGTTAACGGTACAGCTTCATCCACTCACTCGTCTATCAGTCAAACCGTCGCCGATACAAATGGTACACGACATACGTAGAGAAAAAAAATGCCGATAACATTTTATTTTAAGTTTTAACCGTCTTAGGTGCCGCGTACACGTATATTCTCGCACAAATGTTCTGTTTTAATCTGAATAAACGCTTCAGTTTATGTATTAAGTAATATAATGTGTCTACGTTTCCCATTAGTTTGTTTGAAACAATATATTACCATAGGCGTAACTTGATCACCAACTCTGGGGTCGCTAAAATTATGAACATCAAAGGGATTTTGGAGGGCTATGCCCACCACAATCCCCATTACACGACTTTAACAATAGTTAACCACACCTTTCGTTTACAATTTTGTACATAAAAATTTATCGTGATTATTTTAACATTATCTTTCATACACACACATGCATATATATTATGATATTATATATTATTTAGTTCTGCTCGTGAATTTCATAATTCATGGACAAAATTTAATCGTTACCATGAAAAACTTAATTGAGTTTTTTAGGGATGCTAAAGACCCCCTAGTTGCGCCTATGTATATAAAAATGATTTATTTGGCAATAGGTAATTAAATATTACGACTCGCTGTATATATAGTGGCGGTGGCGACAACCACGGCGTACGATCCATAAATATTGTTTCCGATCAATACGTTTGCGGATGTGCGAACCGGAGTACTTCTAAATTGAATAAGTGTATACCGATTTAGGGGATCTAAGGGGATGGTTTTCTATCGTTTAACGAATTAAAAATTAAGTATTACCAATCAAAACCATTCAAAATGCATTTGAAAATAATGAGATTTATCATATCTTTAGAATATTGTATAGCATTAGCATAACAATCAATTGGTTAGCAAAATAAAGTCAACTGACACAAAAATACTTGGACATGTTATTTTAGTTTAGGACCATATCAGTTTAAATTCGTAATCATTGTATTTAGATGTTGAACACTGTAAAATGTATAGTAGTAGTGTAATATTTTATTAACAAACTTATATTATTTCTATATTCGGCAGGCTATTTGTTGTCTCCATGCCATACTATCATTAAAAGCCCGCCAAAACTTGGGGATATGAACCACGATTAAAGATAATTATTAGTACATAAACATATTATTATTAGTAACTAAATTATTATCAACACAATTAATTTATATTTATTATAAATTACGACTTTTAACATAGGTAATACCCAGATGTATAAATATTTGTTGTAATTGAATGGTGAAATTAATACCTAGCGATTTATATATTATATTTAAAATTAGTAAATTAGTTTGGTAGATAAACTTGTAGCTATAGTTAAAATTACAAATTATCAATATCAATTTGAAGAACTATTAGGAACACAGAAAATATGTAAGTACTTTTTCAATAAAATAATTTATTCATAATGCAATACAATACTTAAACCGGTATTTTGTCTGTTTATCTTTCAAAATACTGTTTTAAAAATTAATATTAATAAGAAAACTAAAACTGAATTTAAAAATTATAATATAAATAATTTTTTTTCATTTGTTATAAATTTACATGCAGAGTACCTAATTTTATTTTATTCAAATAGAATATATAAAACCAAATATATGATTCCAAAAATTTCATTTTGAATTTACAATTTATTGTTTCTTTAAAACAAATTTTTACATTATTTTAATGCAATTAAAAATTATTATTTATCTACATAACTCTGTATATTATTTTAATAAATCTATCACCAAGAAAATAGACATACTATTTTATAGTTTAGAATAATCCTTATCGAGAATATATAAATGTAGACATTACTTTTTGGGTTAGAATAAACATTAAAGAAAACATAATGTGAACATAATACGTTTGAGCTTAGTAAATACTTAATAAAATATAGTGTATCTTCTTTGTTAATTAGAATGGAACTGTTTAGAAAATCTCGCATATCTCAACATATCACCAATCGATTCTATGCTAAAAATAAAATAAAAATCACATTTTTTAATTACATTAAAATCATGACATAATGAAATTTAATTTGCTTTTCTCCAATAATTTATATTTATAGAGATGTTTTTTTGTTTAACCCTTCCTACTTTCAAAACTATTGTTAAATTACGGGGAAATATCCGGATCCATATATTTCACTTATAGAATTAAAAAAATTCAAAGAATAAAAAATATTATTCGGTTTTGCTAATTTTATTTGACAAAACAAACTTAACAAATAGAGGCGAAACATTAGTAGATAAAATAAATAATTATACATCTAGATAGAAGGTACCTACCTTTTTTTAAACCATACAAATAGTAATGTTATATGGATTATTTATACTCTATAATTTCTATGCTTATAATATAAACTACAAGTTTATGATTCTTTTTATTACTTATTAGACATTTTTACAGATCAGAAGTGTGAAATGCATATGTTAGTAGTGTAATTTGTAATGTTTCTTTTTGTGTGAAAAACATAATATTATATTTGGGGCATTATTGTGATAACTGGATCTGGAAGAGGGAATGACTTAAGATTCCAAGTTTTACACAGGGTACTGAGTATTAGCTGAGTAATAATTTATATAAATGCCAAGTACTCAATTAGGTCTAGAGTGCCTTGATGGAGAGAGTGTGACCATAAGGAGAGTTGTTTTGATTAGATGACTGAATGTATTGCCATCAATTGGCTATTTTCGATTTTGATAAGATATTTTAACATGCATTACTATATTTCATAAAGATTATTATTAATTTAAAAGTCATTTAGTTGTAAAATAAATTTTAAATCACTAGTCTATGGTTGCATACATTACATATAGGTATGAGAGTATATAGATTCCTAGGATTTTTACCAATAAATTGGAAAAACAGAAAAATATACAAAATGTAATTATCAGTAAAAGAAATATTACGTTTTTTTTTATATATAACCTGTGAGTAATACCTACAAAGTAAGTTTAGTATTTGTATTAAGGGATCTAATGTTTATGTTTTTTAAAATACAGTGTAACATTATAATGAAGTTAGAAGTCTAATTTTAGTTTTTAGTTCAAATAGTAAATTATCCAACACATACTTTGAGGGAAATTGATTGGCTTTTATTTTAATGTATTCAACCAAGCTACACGGTTGAGGTGTTTGTTCATTCGCGATGTTGATGGGCGTCCAGAACGGGCCTCATCAGTCTTCCCGACATTCCTTGAATGACTTATGCCACTTCTTTGCTTGCAAATAGGAGAGAAGATTCCCTGAAGGCTATTTTAAGCATGTCCCATGTTTCCTTAGGCGTCTTGTTGAGTTTGACAGAAAATTTCACCATAACCATAATATTGTTTTAAAAATTTTTCCATCTTAACTACGGCACGGTCACTGCACTGAGGTTCACATAAAAGCACGTCCTAACTCTCTGAGAGCTTGGAGGCGACTAACCATGGTATTTCTGAATAGTTAAAGGCATCCCTTACTCTTCCTAACCAGTTTCACCATTCCATATTGCATAGTCACGTCACAAAATAATTAGGTTCTTTACTTTCTGGACAAACCATGTATTGATTGCACAAAATAATTATTATGTTACATTCAATTTTTATTGGATTTTTGTTTTTTCGCGCTGCTGTTTGTTGTTTTCATCTCTTCTAATAGTTTGTCTGCAACTGTTTTTAATTGTTGAATAATTGCTGTAAAACAACATAATTTTAAATATATATTACTATTAAGTATATATTATTATATTTTTATATTACCATTTCCAGTGTCAATGACTATATTTGTTTAGAACTATTTCTAGGTATCTCTTTACTTCTGTATTTGTAATTATTAACTCAATGCCATTTTTTTAAGACTGTCTTCTTTGACAAACACTGTTTTCTGATTTTTATATAACAATATTGAATTATTTTTAATAATTTTAGTTACGTTTACCAATGAATCGTTAAGTTTTGTTATTTTTCGGAGCAAATATCTATTATTGATGACCAAATTCTTAACTTTGATTTCTTGTAACTCATATTTTCTCAATTGAACATTCTTTTCCTAGATAATAATTGAAATATTCATTAGTGTGATATTTAAAATTTGTAATTGAATAATTATGCAAGAACTACATTAACATTATTTTATTACTATTTCAGAGTAAACTTTTAAAACATTTTTGAAAAAATGAAAAATTCATCTGTCATATATTGGCTACTTGAGTTGACTACTTTTTGTTTTTTATACCGCTTATTAATTTTTACTATTTTAACTTAAATGCATGCAGCTCATATCAAAATTTGTGTCTTGATGTATTGTTTAGTATTTGTTGCACAATCAAAATTTAAAAAAAATATGTTAATGGCAAACTTTGCCAAAAATCTATCCAAAATTTGACAGTAATGTATATCCATATTTTAATGATGTCAAACACCATTTAATTTAAATGTAATATTAAGTTGGTCATTGTGAATGTATAAAAAAAAAATTTGAAATTGTATTTCAATAACCTAACAAAATCAAAACAAATTATGATAGTTTTATAACATAAGCGAAAATATCTATCAAAATAAATACATAAGATATTGTTTGTCCCACAAAATTAATAGTTACCTATGTGTGGTTTTTCATTTCTTTGGTAATATATGAAGCAGCATTTAAGGCTACTTGATGTTTTTATTTTTTGATATGATTTGTATATTATTGTGACCGTTATTTCATATACCAAATTCATTTTTACATATTTCACAATAGGTTTATGTATACTCGTATGTAGAGATATTTTTAGTAATTTTACAAAAGTAAACTTTTTCTGTAGATTTGAATAAAATAAATATTTTACACGTAATGGATTTATTGTACACAAATTTAATACTACATTAGTTTACCATTCTACCATTCTGATTATTAGTATGTGGAGTATGAACTGTTATCTTCAGCAATTTGATAGTAACCATCACTGATAAAACACAACTTTGATAACAAATTTAATTAACCCTTGGAGTAAGTAATACTATTGATTATAAATACTATAGATTTCTCACTGGACCATTTTACGATGGCGTAAAATAAAACTCCCGATAGGTGGCGATATGATTATTATTAAAACATAAAATTAAATAAATTCGTAAATTATAATTTTTTAAATTGTCTAGGATACATCAGTTTATTTAATTTATATCTGTATTCAACGATTAATGATATCACCATGGGCGTGCGCAGACTTGTTTGGGTCGTACTCTCGTGCTCGAGAAAAATTAACTAATTTATTATCTGAATGGTAGTAAATGCTATTCCCCCAACAAACTTTTATTACCTTTGGATACTAGATAACACAAAATAATAATTCATTATGTACACTGTCTTTAAATTCGTTATCATGAGTATATCAATTAATTAAATATCATACACTCCATAAAAGTAAAATTAATAAATGTTTCTTTGTAATCTTCGATGGATAATCATAGTCTATCAATAAATAATTTGGGTAATTTCAATTAAGCCAGTATAATATTTGGTAACACAGTCGTAAAAGAACGCAATTGACAGTGAAATGTATGAACTATATTTTAAATTAAGAAAAACAAAAAGTGATATCATATCACATGACATTAAACTTTCATACAGGTTATGGTAATGAGCACCAAAAATTCGAATTATTTCATAATAATACTATTATTTTTTTTTGATAATTCAACAATTTTTGAACCTTACTTGGCTGCAGGCTCAGATTGAACCTGCGAGCTACCGAGAAAATCTTGGTGGGTAGCACAAAATTATGTATATTTTTTTATTGAATGTTAATTAACTAAATGGTTACACAATTCGAAATTCCCCAAGTAAAATAAATTTATGTTGTGTCCTTACATTTTAATCATAAGCTGTTTTACTCTTAAATCATATTGTTTCTATAATTTTTCAACGATTTTTCGACATAAGGTTGTTTGTTCAAAAACGATCAACCTGTGATCGGTTTAATCGAAAATGATACGAATATCTAAAGTTGCCCATTTAGTTTATAACTATTGTAATATTAAATATATTTTTCGGTTATTATTAGTTGTTCGCTCATTTCCTCGCACATTCTATAATATTTTTTTAGGCCTTAGGACGGGTAAACTCACTGATGAACTTATTTTGAAATTTGAACGTTGATAACTTTGTATATTTTTGAAAAAAATACATATTGTATTTTCTTGTAGCAGACGAATTTTATATTTGATTACCTACGAAAAATACCAAGTAATCTATACACAATATTGGAAATAAACACATGAAGATTCGATTTCAATATGTATATACATATTTGGGAAAGAGCAATATTGTTTATTAATTTGGAGTTTTGCCCAATTAACTATAACTAGAATATTTGTTATGATTTTCATTTAAATTTGATTTAAAAACGCTTATTAAAAAAAATTCGTCTAATGATTTTGGAAATTTTATCACGTCTAAATAAATCCAATATGAGTATTATTACCTAGTTTCAATTCTCTACATGTATTTATAACCAAATACAGCAAAATAACTCCCAAAAATTAAAATTCCTTAAAAGCTCAAAAGTTTTGGCGATGATGCCATAAGAAAGTAGATAAAAAGGCAACAAAAATGGTATCTTGTGATTTTTCGATTAAATCATTTTTTCTGGTCGAAAACGTCATCCGTGTTTTTATAATATAATGAAATCGTGAAAATGTACGTTTTCCTACGTTTTTCCTAATTAACTGCTTTTATTTTAAAAATGGCGTCGAAAGCCAAAAAATTACCTCTCTAAAGTACAATCTAGACAACTTGAGCTTTCAGAAACTTGACACGTAAAATCGGAGCATGTTCACTAGGACAAAACGTGTCCACAGACTGGAACAAAGAAGAAGAAAAAAACAGCATTGTAAAATCAATAGCTTCTTCGTTACGCTCGGAATCTAAATATGCACATTTATATGTAAAATGAAATTTCAAAACTAGCTTTGTAAAAGCATGAAACGTATTTGTTTCGTACTTTGCTATTTTTATTAATGTGCAAAACAAACATGCAAATATTACAAGTCCTCTATCCTAATTATTAATATAGTTTAAAATAATGCATTTTTTTTTAAATTCATGCCTGAGTATTTACAAACGTTTAGAACGTACCTAAAAAGCTATACTGGATACCAGGGGTGCATGTAGAAACGTCACGAAGCCTCGCGCCGTTCGTCATTGGCGTTCGTTGTGTGGTGGTGGTGACGGGCGTTTCGGTGGGTGAGGAGTTTCATGACAGTCGGGCGAGGGGCGGAGGAGGGAGTCCGAAAGCCAACTGCAGCTAACATATTGTGAGGGTACGTGTACCAGGAGTGCATGTCGACTGTAGGTAATTTTAAATGGACGCTTTTCAGGCATAGCACACGTTTATAAGGCTTTTTAATTTGTGATACCTATGTATTTGTAAACATATCGGCAAACGGAACAAAAGAACCTATACTGTTGACGGAAACTCAATTTCAGTTAAACGTCATATTTTGAAATGCCGTAATTTAACGATCAAAATATCAAATGTCTATAATCAGCTCAAAAAAGTATAAAATGGAAGAAATATGCTCTAAAAAAAAAAAAGAGCTGATACTGGGGACGAGTGCAGTCACTGTTGTAGGTGAGAAGTTAGGAAGGTAGGATACATAAGATTATTTCGTTTATATCTGTAGGCAGCGATAAACAATTGCTTTACGAAAGACAATTCCGAGCGCAGTTCGATAATACATAGTTTGAAATGTCGTTATATTTTTAGGATCTAAATGTAGCGAAGAAAGTATTGGTTTTACAAAGATGTTTATTTTTTCAATTTTATTTTTTTTAATTTTTTATCCTGAATACAAAAATTCGACTATTACTACCATTTCTAAAAGGGAATGTTGTGCAGATAGTACTTTTGGGAGGTCATTTTTTGATTTATATAGCGGTTTTCATAATATCTGGGAAAAACCAGGATAAAACGTAAAAAAACGGGAAACGTATGAAATTAATGCTTTTATTATTTTAACAATTTTGTTATTTATTGTCATTCAGTTAAAAATATCCGTAGAAACTTGAAACTTGGACAGAAAATTTATATTTGCCTTTTCTAGACGTGATCATATTTTCAAAAACTTTAAGCTATTTTTGAGCTATTTATAGACATTTTAATTTTACGACTTTTGTACGTAGTTTTTATTCGGTAGGTAATCTGTCGTAAAATTGTTAGACTTAACAAAAATGCTTGAAAAATTAACAGGAAGTTCATTAAATCTTACTTTGTGGTACAAAAAAAAATTGAGGTTAATATATTATTTTTTTTTTTTTTATAAAGGAATTTTAATATACAATTTTGACGAAAATCATTTGAGTAAAAAATTATGTGGAACAAATCTAATTTTTCAATTTTTTGCTTTGAACATATGTGTATTAAAGATTCAAAAAGGATGGTAAAGTCAGAATGGAACGGACTAAGTTTTTAAATTATAGCTTTTTGAAACTCAGATATTATGCGGATATTACATGGTTTGTTTAATAACTCTATATTGTCTACTTGATTATATGTTTGTTGTAGTCGAATGGTCATGAATACGTATTGTTATACCTGGGTTTGCGAGTTCAAACCCGAGGTTTGAAAAGAAATTGTTTACACTTTTTCCCCCTTTTATCTAAATAGAAAAAAAACAAATGCATTTTAAGTGTACCTATAAACCTAGCATCGCTCGCTCAGACGATTTTAATCGAAAAATACCCCTTGATTTGTTGTGCAAATTTTTCTACCAAAAATCTTGCTCCCATTTATCAAGTGTAGCTTATTTTCTGAAAGGAAGTTTTATCTCCATGGTTTAGGGAGGTCATTTTTGTGATGTTTCAATCAATTTTTATAGTAACTTGTAAAAACCGGGATAAAATGTCGGAAAAAATAGATAATGTAAAAAATATAGGTATTAGTAAAAAAATATAATGGCATTTTTTTTCCTGTGTACAACTTTTCTAACAGAAATTTTGCTCCGATTCACAATGCTAGCACTTTTTCTTAAATTATATCTGACTAGGGAGGTAATTTTTCGATTTTTCAAAAAATTTTCTTAGCTAATGCGATAATCCAAAAAAAACATGGGAAAACCAGGAAAAATGCTCGCTACGTTCGGAATATAAAAAAATGTTGATTAATATGTAGTACAATATTATTCGTAAATATTCGTAAATACAATATTTCCATATCGTCGAAAAAGTAATATTATTAATCATTCAGTATGGAGATCAATAGTTAAGTGACCACAATATTAGTAGGTACCGTTTTTATTGGACAACCGGAACTAGTAGGTAACCTTTTTATAAGGCGACCGCAAAAATTAGGTATCTACGTATTTTTTTGATTTTGACCTCAACTGTAATAAATATCGGTCTGTTCTTACCGTTGGTTGTAAAATATTCTATTATAAATTCGAATTTCAGTACACGTTCATATCTTTTTTGTAATCAAAATAATATTGGCATCTATTACATGAAATAACAAGATTATTTTGAAAATCTATTACATGAAATAAACCACATTTTCATATGAAATTAATGATTTAATTTCGGACCATTAATTTACATTTCTTGTGTTTTGTAAGCATGGGTCATATTATGGTACAGAAAAAAATAAGACCGCCAAACAACACTTTGCATCCCCCGTGAATGGCGCCCCAGGAACGGGTATGCCACTGTTTTTGGTAGGAAGTTAAAGAGTTATCTAATTTATATCTATTTAGAACGAAAAACTATTACTAGAGAAAATCGATTCAGAATGATATTCAGTAATATCTACATGTTTTGAAATATCGTAATATTTACGGTTTTCTTCAAAATTCGATTTTAAAATCTCTATAAAAAAAAAAATACTACAATACACTCATTTTGTTGGTTTTTATTACCACTAAGTAGGATTTATATCATGAACCTCCTGTTAATTTTTCAATTAACATTTAGCATTTACATTTACCAAGCATTAGTAAAATATATATATAGCGTGAAAATTTACGATCATCTAAAGACAGCCCACGAACAAATTCCTTATCGATTATAATTGTAATATTTCTTATCAAATAACCTAATATAATGCATGACAAAATGTTATCAACATGAACATACAAACCACAGAACATTTAACAAATATATAAAAAAAAAAAAATAATAATATTGGTTTCAAAATAATATTAATAAGTATGTAAATGTAGGTAGCATAATGTAAATAGCATAATTTGTCTTATTTTCCATATGCTTGACCCAACATTTTCGTTAAAGTCATCTATGATTTGTCTTCTTATATTTAATGTTGGTTTATTTAACCGTTGTTGTTCTGGTATTTTTATACGAAGATTTTTAGTTGAAAAAGATCACAACTGTTTTTTAACATCTTTATTGACTTGCATTTTTATTTAATAAAATAGGAACGTTAGATTCTTGTTCATATAGCATTTTTAAATTTGAGTCTAAGGATAAATTAATTTTATGTACCTGGTCATCATTCAATTTATCTGTTTGTAACGCAAACGTGCTATAAAATAGCCGAATTTTTTTTGCAATTCTAACTGCAGATGGAGCAATAATTTGCTGCATAGACTACGCACTGGGTGGGCGTGCAGGGCGTACGGCGTGGTGCGTTTAGGTTGCACGGAAGACGCACAGCGCTCGCTCGGCGGACAGCGCACGGATGACTGTGCACAGCAGTTACGTGGACATTCTATCCTGACTTTATCTTCTTTTCTACGACTACTTTTCTTACGGATAAAACGAGTATTTTTCTGGAAAAACTAGTTAACAATTAAATTATTAATTAAAAGAACTTTTTTCGATATAAAATAACGCGTAACGCACGTATATAAAACAAAAAAAAAAAAACTACGAAAAGATCGAAAAAACTTACGCGTAGATAAAGGTAGATAATTTTTAAAAATAGTAATATGGGGTGCAAATAAGTTACCGACTTCAAAACGAGTATATTCCGTACACTCTTTTTTTTTTTTTACATACACAGTATTTATTTTTTTTTCTTTTACTGGACTGTACGTGACGCATTATAATTTCTTATGCCGGATAATAATTTTCGCACCAGCATTTAGCTGTGCGTTTATCGCCGGGAGGAGAGGCCGAGATAAAATTCTACACAAAATATTACTCATTGTACGAAATCGCGGCAACCGTCTCAATAGATAAGTACACAGGTGATCCCACTTCGGAAACTGTGATAACTGTGAATTATGGAGAAATACAGCCGTGCCGTCAACTTACTGACTATATACTTGCATATTGCCATATCTGTTGTAAAAAAGGTTTTAGGTTTACGATAATTCGATTTGTTTTCGTTCTCTTTTCATGAAAAAGTACTATTTTTTCTACGGTATTATTTCTTATTGCATTATTTCTTATCAGTTACTTTAATTATTAATTACAATAGAAAATTAAAAAAAAATTAAATTGTTGAAATCTATAAAAAATTCGTATAAATTTAATGATTCATCATCAGTTGTGAGATTAACCGTAAACATTTACCAAAATTAACTACCTATTATGGTAATTCAGTTTAGAAATATTTGAGTATGCTTGTGAAATAGTTACAATAAGGGCTCACTCGATTTTTAGACCGGTTATTGTTGGATGTAAAACCAGTACCTATTTTTGATTTTCAAACGGCAACTATATTAAATAAATACATTTGGTGTGGACTTTTTTAATTTCCGTCAATCCGTTGACGAGATATTTCACTTTTCATTTTGGTTCGGAGGAGAGTAGTGGTGCATTTTTTATATGACCACATGGGGCGTACAGCGCGTGGAGTAGAGTATCGTGGTGTATAGTGGTGCGGGGTTTAACGACGCGTCATGGTTAGATTTGGCGAACTGCGCACAATGCGCACGGGAGGACTGCGCAGAGTATCACAGTATTTTACCACCCACTATATTATTACTTCGATAGGTATAAATCGCCTGTAGAAAAAAACTTTTTGAGGACTCATTTTAAATGTTGTTACTAAAAAAAATCTAGATTAAATTAGATTTTACAACACATTAATATAGCTAGTTCCATGGAGTATATTTTTGTGAACAAAACGACAATGGCATCCGGATAGCTTCTTTAATGGCGTTAATTTGTACTTATTTATGTAGTATTCGAAATAATCAAAAATACATGTAACTAAAATAATTATTACAGAGAATTGAACAAATTTAAAAGTACAATTTGTAATTTGCGAAAAAGGCGCCTCCTGAATGAAGGCGAAATGTTTTTTTTTAAATTTTAAAATAAGAAATTTTTCTTGATGCATTTTCGGTAAAAACTATTAGTTTTTGGGCACTATAGATATGTTAAAGGTTATAACATTCATGTCACTATCTAATAATTAATATTATTAAACCGCGAGTAATTTTTTAAAATTTCTAATTTTCTAATTCGTTATTTATTTTAGTTATCATATTCCCTCATTATCATCGTGTTATCACCATTAAACTATTATATTGTCATAAATTATGTATACACTACGTATTTATTTATTATACATATTATTTCGTTTATTACGCGTGGTTGCCGGCAAACGTATAGGTAGTACAGATAATATCTATTAGTACGTTTATATAATAGCGTTCAAATTGTTTGAAAAGAAACCGTTTTAAAATGTATTAAAACGGCATCTGTTACACCCGATTAAATATCCATTTTGTAAACCAACATAAATTTAATCGTATCCTATACGGCTATACACGACTTGAATTTTGTTCCAAGATATATAATAATATTTATCTGAGAATATTAATAATATTTGTGATTGTAATCTTAAATCATGTTTGTTAACTTACTTTACTTTTTGGACAATATCATAATTGAATTAATACATTATAATATTATGATTATTTATTTACGTTTATTACAAAAAATTTTACTTATCTTTCCTTATAACGAAATCGAGACTAAAACAATTCGTATGTCTTCAGCCCGCAATAATAATAATACTAATAATATCGATCTACAAAATCCACGAATAAGTGCGAAATGACCGAATAATGTAATTTAATTATTAATAGTAAATTACAATAATGTATTATTATACATTAATTGTGTAATTACTAGCCACTAGGTAATAATTGGACATTTAAATTTTTTTTTTTTTTTATCAATCCGAAGATTGGTTAAATGATTAATGGTGTTTCTCTCCACTTATCTCTGTCACTTATAATCCTCTCATCTCCCAGTATGTTCTTATTCCGGTATCTTCCATCACCTGCTTCAGAAATGGAGTTCTGGGCCTTCCTCTTCCAGGTTTTCCTTCGATTTTTCCCCTCTATTATTGTGGTTATCCAAGGACTATTCCTTATTACGTGTCCGATCCATGCTTTCCTCCTCAGTCCTAGCGTATTCCATATTGATTTTTGGGTATTCATTCTCCTGAAAATCTCATCATTTTTTATCTTTTCCGTCCATGAAATTTTTAGCACTCTTCTCCAACACCATACTTCAAAGGCTTCTATTTTAGCTTTTTCAGCCTTCATTATTGTCAAAGTCTCTGCTCCATATAGAGCTACACTCCACACAAAGCTTTTTATAAGTGCTTTCCTGGTGTCCAGACTTATTCTGTTTGAAGTAAAAAGATTTCTCTTTTTATAATAAGCCTGCTTAGCCTGCGCTATTCTACATACTATATCTGTATGGCTTTTCCCATCGCTTGTAATTTTGCTCCCCAGGTATGTGAAACTTTGAACTGTCTCCAGCAATATTCCATCTAGAGTTATTACATTTAAATATTTAATGCAAAAAAAAAAACTCGATAAAGTGACAAGGTTTCAACACAAACGCGTTTATACGTTTATGTGATAAACCGTTTCAAACGCTTAAAACGGTTTAATTTTTTAAATTGCCTAATGCGAGCGTTTTAATTTTTAAAAGGGTTTAAAGTGTTTACATGATCAGATTAAGTTTTAATTTCTAACCGTTTTAAGGCCATCACAGGTATAAACATAAAAAATATTATATACTCTGTAGCTGCCATTTTCTCGATGACAAACATTGTATATATTGTCTATTGAAGCGTCTGTGAAATTATTTGATCTGTTTGTCTAAAAGAATTTATAATAACATAGTATGGTTCTTGTATATTTGTATGATTTTAATGGGATTAAAACCAAAGATAATATTTCTGAAAATTGAACCGACATATGTTATAAAGGGATGAATTCCTTATTGGGTTCTGCCAATCGCGCCACTGAGTAGATATTATTATGTTTTAATATTAAATAAAGATAAATAATCGTTAAATTTGTGTCTAATTAAAATAAAAAGAAATTGTTATTTTTACATTATGTACCTGTCGACAACTATACTCCGTTCCAATTAAGAACGCACTGGGCGGCGGACGATAATTGGTCAAAACTCGCGCAGCCGACTAACGGCAACCAATAGTATAGGGAATACTCAGCCAAAGGGGCAAGGACGTCGCTCCGCGATACATTTGGATGTGCCGAATGGTACGTTCTTACGTATGGGCTAAAATTGAAAATAAATTTAAAAAAGTTAATTTTCAAATAAAATAAAATAATTTATCCTAGAATTGTGTTTTTAATATTATAATAATCAAGTAGGTTGAATAAATTCAAAATTAAACATGTTTAGTATAAATTCTTTCGATGTCATCGCCGCGCCGTAGTGCGTATACCACAGTCGTATAATAGGGTCCTTATATTCATGTCTTATTTTTTGGGTTTTTATTACGGCCGAATTAAAGAAATTGTGCGCAGTTGAAAGTATATCGTATGGTTTTTTTTTTTTATATAACCGAAAAATAGGAGTTTCGAAGCCCTCTATCGATACACCTTGTTATGTTCAAATATTAAGGTCCGAATTCCTCATCCCCACCCTTCCACGTATTAATACAATTTCACCCTCGATGCCACCTACGAATTTTATTCTTTATTACAGCAAAACCAGTTTAAAATGACCTGTTTGTTACCCCCTGCTTGTTACAGTCAATATTTGTTTAGTTTCCATGACGACAGTGCAGTGTCTCCAAGTTTGTTTAGTTTTATATTGTATATACTAATACAGTATATAGTGTATCTTTTTCATTCATTCGCAAACTTAAGCGTCTTGATAACCATATTCGTCAAAATTTTACTCACTTTTATTTTCACATAATTATGGATGAAACTCGAGCACGCATGATGCTATTAATTGAATTTGAGAGAATCGAGGACCAAGTTTCGGTAACAATTTTATATGTACACCCGTCCGGCGAAAAAGAACTGATGCTCGAGAACCACATGCCATTTGAAAGAGATTTTATGATCAGAGCTCTCCACAAGAGCCAAGAAGAATTATGTAAAATCAGAGTAACGTATTTAACGATAGACAAAACCAACCATGGAAAGCACAGTTATATGGTTTCGATAGCTTCTTTGAGAGAAGAGCCCATTTACAGAGTAGCCGTACCAATAGCCCGACACGGACCTCGCACGGCTCCACATTCCGTGACCGTTACGTGGAGAAATAGCCTGGCAGGAGAACTACTTGAAGAACTCCGCGCAGACGAAGAACAAGAATTGCTAGAAGAAATTCGTATTCAAGAAGAAATTCGTGTTCAAGAAGAAATTCTAAGAGAAATTCGTCGTCAAGCAGCAGTAGGAGAAGAAGAAGAAGAAGAAGAAGAAGAATTAAATGCTTAAATTACTGCCCTAACCTCCTAAAAATTTGTCAACGTGAGTATCTACCTACACATTTTATTAATCTATGTTAATAGTCGTAAATATACGCATAACACTAGCAATAGCATTATTTGCCTAATGATTATCTTATTTTGGTTATTCAAAAATGATAATAATGTGGCTTTACATAATAAATCGGAGTTTATTTAGGATTAATTTCCTCTGTTCACTCGCTTTGCTTCGTATGGGTTATTAATGTCTTGGGCCAGATACGAATCAATTTTATATATATTTTTTTTATTATTATTAGTATTTAATAATTAAATACTAAATATTTAAATATAGGTGTACAAATTACATTTTCAGCCGTTATTAATTGTCCTTGTCATTTTCGAATAACTGTGCCCATCCCGTCTTAGTTTTCTTCCCCACCCACGAATTTATCGGGATCTAAATTCAACTGCGGGTATTGAACACGAACTGTCGCCCTTTCTCCGGCAACACTGCTGTAAAACCATTTTACTATCGCCATTTCTACGTAATGCACCTTCGTCGTTAAAAAAAAAATTCACTCATTAATTATAAAACATAAACTCGTAAATATTTAATAATAATAATTAATTTTAAAGATATATTCAAAGCATTATTATTATTATTATTATTATTATTTATAATACACATTCGCCAATATTCAATAATAGTAAAAAATAATGTTTAAGATATATTTTGAGGATTATAAGGATTTAAATAACATTCATCAATATTTAATTAAAAATAAGAACATTTTAAATTTTTATAATTACTCACATATTGTGTTTATCTTTTATCAACATCGTTGATTCTTTCATCATTGAATATCCATTATTTCGCAAAGCATTGAGTTTTTTTTAAATACATTTTTTTGACAATTTGAATAACAAGAAACAAGCAGATATAAAATGTTACATTGCCATTATTTTTTTATAATTCTTATAGTTGATGTATAACGACTACTTACCTACTTTAAATTTTCAAAAGGTAATCTAATAATCATGAAAATCCCATGAACGGGTAGATAGAAATCAAATGTGTCAATACTAAAATTTATTTAAACTTTAGTTATATCTATTTATGGAATATTAATTTTATGTTACTATTTGAAAGTCAAAAGTAGGTAGATGTCAATAATCCCAAAAATAAAGATGACAAATATAGTAGTACATTTTAAATTATCAAGACAATTTTTTTTGAAAAATGTCAATAGGTACTTGTGAAATAATGAATGTTCAAGGATAAAAAAATTCATCCTGTATATTAAATCTATAAAAACGAGTAAATTCTATTTAGTATTTTTTATATTTGTATTATAGTTAATAAATTGTTGTAAATTAATACAATGAACCTAATTTACATTTCTTTATTTTTCAGAAAAATTAAGATTTAAGGTACAGTATTAAGAAATCGCATCATCATCATTCCAGTTATTAATTTTAAGCAATGCATTTATTTATGCATTATTTTTAACACTAGTTTTATTATTTGATTAGGTACTTAGTGGCCAAAATAATTATAATTTACTTTAGTATTTAATCAAGCTAGTAATTATTTTTGTAATTTATATATATATATATATATATATATTAATACTGTATAATACTATTAGAAGTTCTACTAATAAATTTTAACTATGATCTTATTTATAATGATTTTATTATTATAAATTTATATTTTTTTGAAAGTTATAAGATTTTTAATAATTTTTATGTAATTCATTTTAAGTATAAAAAGGAAATAAAGTTTTTGTCAATTATTTTATACATTTGTATTATACTACTTGGTATATTTGGAATCCATTTTATCAATACTGTATTTAGTAGGAATGTTTGTTGACAACAAACCTACTGAATAGTTATAGTAAATAAATATATAAATAAAAAATGTATATATAAAAATAAAAAATTAATTAATTAATGCGGTGCCTGAAGTATTATGATAATGTATTATACTACCGTTTTCGAATTAAAAATTCATCCTCCGGTATATTACAGTCAAAATGTAAAACGCAATATTTTATTTATATATTTATTTACGAGAATTAACCATTTTAATAATTTTGTTTTTACTTTATTATTTTATTAGTTAATAATTATTTTGACGTTGAGTAACACTATTAAATACTTTGGATCTTCACAATACTTTTAAAATTGAATTTACATCTGATAATGTCTAATGAAATAATATTATAGCTAATTACTATAGGCTATTATATGAGCTATCTGTCTATTAATTTATTAATGGTTTCAGTAAACAATACAAAACGGATATGTTATACTTAGTTTAGATTATATTAATTTGCTCAAACATTTTATCATCAAATTGAAACCTTAATTTTATCATACTATACACAATCTTGCATTAATTCAAAATAATATAAGTAGTAAAAATTATTTTTATTAGTATTAAGTTCATCCCAACCTATACCTAGCTTTAGTTTTTTTTTTTTTAAATATAAATATGAACCATATACCTAACTAGATATTTTAAAATTATTTGCTATATTAATACACTTTGTAATAATTATCTATTATGACATTTCTTTGACATTGCGTACCTATCTTATTGTAAGAATATTAATCAGCCTAAGGCAGGGGTCGGCAACCTGCGGCTCGCGAGCCACATGCGGCTCTTTCGGTCTAAAGTTGCGGCTCTCCAGCTGCACACACAAAAATTAATATTTTAGTTCAAAAACAATATTTTATAATATAAAAATAAAAGTATTTTTGTTGCTTTTGGAAATATGAAATGATACATCACAAAAATAATTTGACAGTGCTCGCATAGAGTACAGTCTATAGTTGTAAAATGTTTATTATAGAGTCTAATATAATCGCGACGCTATCTACAACTAATTGGTCATACGCCCACGCCAAGACATGCAAAGCCAATGCTCCCATTGATGTATTCCCCTATTATTAAAAACTGTTTTTTTTTTTTTTTTATCATAAATTTATTATATTATATTTAAATGCTTAAGAAAATTTTTAGTGGCTCTTTAAAATCTGGAAAATTTTGTACATTGTAACTTTTGGCTCTTCCGTCAAAAAAGGTTGCCGACCCCTGGCCTAAGGTCATTAAATCTAAAATCAGAATTTTGGTTTTATTTTTTTAGTATTGGACAAATTATGTGAACAATAAAATAAAATCAGAGGTCATGGTTTAATTATAATTCACTCATTCTTAAAAATGTAATAGATGAAAATTTAAAAAACTGAATATTAATGTAAAATGAATACTTACCTAAAGTTATGACTTATGTTTACCATAGATAAAGTTAACAATTATTTCTGTAATTATCTGTGGTTTCAATGAAAACCGTTTATTTTAAAAACACTGATGAATTGTAGTTTTTAAATTAAAATAAATAATATAATCATCATTTATCTACCTAAATTTTGGAAAATAATAAAATGTACGATATTTCTGTGAACTAACTGAACTGTTATATTAAATTATATGACAATTTACATATTAAATAATGCCTCAATTAATTAGATGCGTCAAAATTAAAATACCTATTTTATTACCTACGAAACATAATTTTTATAAGTACCTATAGTTTTTGGTGGCTTATGGATGTTCCTACATTAAAAAGCCTTGCGAGTTAATTGTACGTCACATCGAACATAATGTGAGTATAATATAATACATATACATGTATACATATCATAAAGAATATGGATACATATTCTTTATGATATGTATAAAATAATATTATATACCAAGCTATAATTGTTAACAATAATAAAAAAATATAAATTCATGTGGGTATCTACTCACAGTCTACATAATGGAAGCGGAGTACAGTCAGGCCAATTGATCAATGATCACTAATCTGTAATAGGTATATGGTATAATTTCAATTCACACGCTCACAAATAAATACTAATTAACTTCATGTAATTGTTATTAAACGTAATTGTCACGATTCGCGAATACCAGTCATATTGCGTTGATAGGTATAAGGTACCATGGACATAGTATTAAACACTAACCTATGACGGAACTTTCCTCACCCCCCGCCTATTGTCTTATGAGTTAGAAAGCGCGAGAAAGATAGTATTAATATTGTTTTACGGTTGTGATAATATGGTGATAATTATATAAGATATTACAGAAATACAGAATACAATTATCGAAATTGCTACACTTTTATTGAATATTAAACATATTAAAATATTATGGTCCGTACACTGCTTATTGCAATATTGCTAAATATGATCGATAACGTTTCGTAGGTATCATAAAATATCGTCATAATTGTCAATTACCTACCATCCAGATGTGACTAATAATAAGCGTTTGATATTTTAAGGTTGATTCATGGATTCGTAGTAATTGATAAACATTATACAATATTCAGCGAAACTTATGCCGTCATACCCTTTTTGGTAATTGGTTATTGTAGTATGGTAATATACGAGATGATCAATCAATTACAAGACACTCATTATCTTGGTAAGTTTTAACTTTTTCCGGAATTTATTTTCTAGAGCAGTGGTCGGCAACCGGCGGCCCGCGGGCCGCATCCGGCCCGCTTTAAATTCTATAACAACGAAATTTAATTTAATATCATATCAAAAAAATCATATTGTATAAATAGAATTGAACGTTTCTATAAGTCATATTTTATAATGGTAGATATACCTTGACAGTTATCGATAAGATAGAGTAGAAACAACGAGTGTATTTGGGTTATAATCTTAATTTTCGATTGTGTTTAGTAACATGGCGTTTTGCGTACGGGTATGTGCGGTTTTTTCGTCTTGTGTAGCTTTAATAACATTATAATTTCGATTTTATATCTATAGTGATCGTTTATTTGACTGATAATTTAAATTTTAAACTAATTATAATGAATGCCAGTAAAAAAAGAAAAATAGATTCTGAATGTCGTGTATTTCAGCATAAATGGAGCAATCAATACTTTGTTATTGAAAATAAAGGAAAAGTCATGTGCCTTGTTTGTCGTGAATTAATTTCTGTATTGAAAGAATACAATATTAAACGGCATTATGAATCCAAGCATAAAGTTAAATATGACTCCTTATACGGACAGTTCAGAGAAATTGAAGTTAATAAACTACAAAAAGCTCTAACCGGAGAACAAACGATCTTTTCAAAAGTAACTATTCAAAATAAAGCCGTTATTTCTGCCAGTGTGAATGTAGCTATGTTAATTGCGAAAGAAGGAAAACCATTTACAGACGCAGAATTTGTCCAAAAATGTGTACTAAGCATGGCCGGTAATATTTGTCCAGATATTGTACATAAGTTTGAAGAAGTCCCATTATCTGCTCGTACAATAACAAGACNCTGATATGTGGTTTCATATTAAATCTTTTGGAATAAAATTGAAAATATTACGGTCTCACATTGAAAAAAATGAATTAACATATTTTCCTAATTGTAAAAAACTTTTTGAATCGTCAGAATTTTCATTATCAACAGTTAAATTTGTTGAAGCTATTTTGATACTTCAACAAGAATTTAATAATCGATTTCAAGATTTCAAACGACATTCACAGTATTTTCAACTACTCGCCAATCCGTTTAATATTGATGTGAAGATATACCTGTTGAGCTTCAAATGGAAATAATAGATTTGTAGCCACAAAGTATCTTAAAAGACTCATTCAAAGCATCGCCTTTACTTTTTTTCGCTGAACTTCTTGCATCATTTTCAAAAATTAAAAATATAGCTGCAAAATACTTCAGTATGTTTGGATCCACTTACGTATGTGAACAGGCTTTTTCTCATATGAAAAAAATTAAAAATCCATACCGTTCACGCTTAACTGATGACCATCTCCACCATGTACTTAGAGCCAGCTCAAGTAATTTTAATGTGGAAATCGAAAAAATAATAAACAATATTCAACAACAAAAATCACATTAAGCCTATTAAGCAGTTGTAATTTCCATACTTTTATATTATAATTATATTATTAAAAACTGTAATTTTATTTTTATGTTCTATTAATCTATTATTTTAAAGTTTTAAACAGTTATTTTTTTTCTTAGTAAATAATTTGGAATACAAAATTTTTATTTTTGTCTGGCCCGCGAACTTTTTTTAATTTATGAATGTGGCCCGGGAGTCTAAAAAGGTTGCCGACCACTGTTCTAGAACATTTAAGAAACAAGCTGCTCTACAATTTTGTATTTATGTTATTTTTTTGTCGCCCTTATTTTGGTGGAAAAACACCACCTACTGGAATATCTCGTCAACGGACTGACGGAAATCAAAAATTTCAACACCAACATTTCTTTAAACTCCTACTTCATCTATTTATAGAATTTTTGATATAGGTTACCATTTGAAATTCAAAAGTAGGTAGTGGTTTTACCCCCAACCAAGTGGCTTTCCATAAATAATAACAAGTTGTGCACAATATATTGCATGAACTTTGTTTATTATGTATAGATATATTTAGTAGGTATACAAAATCGTTATAATTATAAATATTTTTAAAACAAATTACAATTTATTAATAAATAGGTAATCTTAGTATTTCATAATACTCTGTTTATTCATATTATTACACCACGTTTTTATTTTAATAAAGTAAATAAATGTATAAATAAAATAATTTATATGAAAAATGAAAAATAAATGAAAAATTGCCCTGGAGATCTGGAGTTATATAATAAGTGTATTATACGATCTGTTTCGAATTAAAAATTCACCATGAGATATAGAAATAGTGAAATAGATTTCACAGTCAAAATGTAAAACGCTACTGAATATAAAAAATTAAATGAAGGAAAACAGAAAAAAATTACAAATTGGTCGTTTTACATAGAATATAGAAATAATGTATTTTAATAGAAAATATTATTTAAAATTAATTATTATTAGACATAGATATGTTAAGAAATATAAATTATTTGGTTATTATTTATTATCTAAAATGTATTGATGTAAGATATATTTTTTAAAACATTTAAAATATTATTAAAATTATTTTTCTTTATTTCATTATGTAAGTGTAAAGAAGTTTTCTTCTAAAACTAAATTTATGTAAATGTTATTTTGGGTATTTAATATTTCTAAGTCTGTATTAATACCTAAACTTATATTATGGTTATTTTCTAAAACACGTTTAATGAAATTTGAATGTGTTCTTTATATCTTATTTTAAAATTTCTATTTGTCTTACTTACCTATATAAAATTTATTACAGTTAATATATACCAGTATTTTCAAAAAATCGGGATTTTTTTGAAGATTTTAGTTCTATTGTTTGTGTTTGATTAAATTATTATTAGCCTTAAATGCAATTTTTACATCATTTGCATTATTATTCAAAATTTTTTCTTCTAACTAAAGCTTTAGGACGTTTATTGCTTTTTCAATAAATACATTGAACAATGCAGGTGAAAGTGGGCACCCTTGTCTCACAACTTTTTGGATTCTGGCAGTCACTGTTGTTGCATTAATATTAATAATGGTTTCTTGTTCTTCATTTTATGGAGAATACGTCTGTCTTTAAAATTTCTCTCTGTGTCTTCCAAAATTTTATAGAGACTTGTCCAATTTACGCTATCCAAAGATTTTTCTATGGTACAAAAGCCACATAAGTGATTTTTTGTCTCTCAATTTGCTTTTCAAGTATTACTCTCAGATCTAAAATAGCCCTTCTGGTTCCTTTGTTCTTCCGGAAATCATATTAATCTTTGTTATATTAGCTTCTATCCTCTTGCTTATCCTTTTGCTTATAATTATTGTTAGTAATTTAGCTGTATGCGATATCAAGCTTTAGGTCCTAAAATGTTCGCACTGGTTGGCTCTAAGTTTTTTTAGTATGATAACCAATCTACTACATTCAAAATCTCTCGAAATTTTCCCAGTCTCGTATATTTGACATAACAATTCGTACAGAGCGTTCTTTATTTTATCTCCTGTCTGTACCTAGTCAATTTCAGATAAAAGAGCACTTAAAGGATCATCTATAACTAATCCATCCAATTATATTGGGAATAGCTAAGATTAATAATTAGATTTATTGATCGAATCATTGATTGTTCTCGTTTGTATTGAATTTCTTATTATTTACCTATAAGTTTATTTTTTAAAAATTTTACCGCTTCGTGTTTAGAAATGGGAATGTATATACATTTTTGACGCCAACAGAAAATCTGTAAAATATGGACTAAATGTAAAACTATAAGTTAATATCATTACAGCTTTATCATTTTTCGCTGAGTTACTAAATAATACATAAAATATAAATATATAGAACAACAATCTTTCGGCTCTGTAACTTCAACAACCAACAGCTTCCAATCATTTCTTTCTTTTGCTTAATCTAAAAACTATAGATTAGTTTGTACTCTAATTTTCCCATCAAAGTTGTATAAGTACCTACCTATTGAGTTTTAATTTATTATTCAAACAAATATTTTATTCGACGAAATATTATTATATTTCTATAATATAATAAATGACAATGTTTGTCTTATGCACTCTGCACAACTTAAAATGGTAGAATTGAGAAATAATAAATAGCCTTTTAAAAAAACGACACAAAATATTTCACCAAACAATACAATATGTTTCCAGTTTTGTTAAATATTAATTGATAAATGTTTGTGAAAATAAGAGATAAGATAGTAAATATATGATAAGAGCGTAAGGCGACCATCTTGCAGCCATTCGGAGTTTTCTCTCCCTAGACGCTTGTAAATAAACAGCGCTCGACGCTCGCTTTGTTTATAGTGCCCTAGTTATTAGTAGCAACGCATCTAAAGCCATAATTGTGATTGGAGAAGCTTCTCACATCCAAAGTTTATAGATAATATTATCTATACACCTTACCACATTTACCATCGTCCAATAATAATAAATAATAGGTAAAATTATAATAAATTTCATTCATAATCTTTTATCTATTCATACAAATCCAGCTTTTTATTTTAAATAAACACAAAAAAGATTTCTTTGTTTATTTAATCTGAACGGCTGAAGACTATTCTACTTAGTTTAAAATTAACAGGTAGAAAATGATCAAATAAATTATATACCTACCGTACATAAGTACCAATGTTAGATTATTAATCAATAATCATTTTAAATGCTAGAATAGCATTTGTGTAATTATGTATCTTAACTAATGTTTTAATATAATAAATTCAACATTCAATATATTCAGATTTTTGACATGCCTATTTCACCATAATAATAACCAAAGCAAAATTTGCTTCTATAGTTTGACCATTTCCCAAACTCAAAATATCTACACTTCCATAATATTTATTGTGTAAAACTTTATTCAAACTTTCTATACATTTTAAATTCTGAGTAGTGAGAAATGTATTGGTTTACAAAATTGGTGTTTTTATTTTTTTATTTTGTCTTTACAGACAATAAATGATAAATAAAATATTCATTTAAATTAGTTTGTGCATATGGAGTATTTCACACCATTCTTAAGCTTTGATATAATATGCTTTTTCATATTGTAATAATTTCACTAATTTAAATCGAATTCCAGAGAGTTCATCTGTATAGCTACAAAGAGTTAAGCTAAGAGTTAAGTCAAAGGGTGTCTTCGCATAATGACACTTTTTTGGCTTTCCCTAAGATTACATACATACTTTTACTAGTTTTTTGTTTTTTTTTTTTTTTCGCATACTTTCTGTTTTAAGATAGTAAAAACTATTGACATAAACCCAGATTTCTTTTCCCTATTATTTTTAAATAAGTTTTCATTTGTATTATATTACCTATACCATTTGTATTAGATTTTTTGTTTTATCTACTGTGTTAAGTACAATCTAGGGAATACAAATTAACTAGTGTAGTTTGAAAAGATTTGATAATTATAGTATGAAATTTGAAAGTTCCTTGTATGTAAAATATATTAATTTTCATATTATAAAATTAATAAGAAACACATGATCAAAGCAATAATTCAAATAATATTAACTTAGTCCTGGACATTGATAAGAATAACACAAGCAAAATACTGTAAAACAGATGCAGATGCATTATTGGTGACAGCTAATATAAATAATAAAAAAAATATCAGTCTTTATCACAATATACAAAATACTATAAATTTATTTAGTTTTTGACCTTTGACAAATATATAAAAGATTTGTCACTCT